TGTGTTTATGGAGGTGCAGTCAGACTGACCTGTTGTGCCTTTGAAGGTCGAAAATAGATTGGTTGTCTAAATTCTGTATGAACAAGCAATCAATATATTACAGGGTATCGTTGAGAAATGTTGAATTCTAATATTTGCCACCAATCTTCCGCAACAATGTTATTTCACATGTTTTAATAACTTTGAGTTTCATCCGAAGCACAATTTTCAACATTTTAATGCCATCTACAACGCAAAAGCAGATAAGGATTATACGGAACAACCCATAAATTGTCAGAGAAGAAAATTCAATTTTCAACAAGCGCACGACACTGCACGCCGTCCGTAAACATGATACCCGATCTCATCATTCCAATACGTTGTGTCTAAAAATTCTTTGAGAAAGTTTCTTGTGCATTTGTCGTTGTGCATACAACTTGTTTGAAGATTTTTGTTCCCACACGGACTGTGAATCATAAAATTTAAGACCAATTCTGACAATTTAGGGTTTCGTAAAACTCTGCTGATACAATTTCAACAATTTGTTCATGTGTGAAGATTTTATGTTCTCGATCAAGAAACACGACTAAATGTATGTGTGGGAATTTTTTTTTTTGAATTTTATTCTGCAGATACATGTTAAAGTCGAGCCGAAGATATATTTTCGATGAATATCATCTATCAATTCTTGTATGTAACCCTTGAAAACTTGTGCGAGAAGATCTGGTCGATCGTTCGGTCGGTGACCTTCAAGAATTTTGCGATCAATTTCAAGCTAATGTGAGTTTGTTATCACGATGATAAAAAAATCATCTACAATGTTAAGGGGCTCTGGACCTTCCTTCCAGCAGGTGCAACTCCCCACCAATAGATGAAGCCTCCCCGGGAGTGTTAGGGATGCCTGCTCTTGCTAGTGCCCCTAACATCCACTCAGGTTATTCTATTAAGAAACAAAAAAAAAGGAAAAAAAAAAAGTTATGGTGATGAATTTTTGTACGACCCCAAGGACCATGACCGAGCTGGAGAATGGAGATGGGAGTATTGGGTGGGGGTGTTTCGTGTGTGTACGTGTGTGCGTGTGTATTTCATGTGGGTGTGTTTGTGTGTTCAATGTTATATAAGGCATAGGTCGAATGCTCAAAGCCATGCAATTAGAATGGTAAGGGTTATGTTATTGTCAAATCTCACAACGTATCATAGTATTAAAATTAACCGCTGCCCACGATCCGACGCCTTAAACTGCCTTGGTGTGGGACAGACTCAGTCACAGTACGGGGATTCAACCCTGTGACAAAACAAATACATACAACACCGGGATTTCCCATTAGGTCACCCATCCCAGTATAATTCTGGCCCAATGGCAATTGGTTTSCGAGTCCGATGGGATTGGGCGCCTTAGCCGTGTTATGACCATACCATTCATGTGTTAGTTTCACTTACGCATAGCACAAATACTTTATGCTAAGTAACCTCACATTACCTTGTGATACGACTGTTTGTACCCCAGATCCCCACTAGACCGGGACTTCCCATTAGGTCACCCATCCCAGTATAATTCTGGCCCAATGGCAATTGGTTTTCGAGTCCGATGGGATTGGGCGCCTTAGCCGTGTTATGACCATACCATTCATGTGTTAGTTTCACTTACGCATAGCACAAATACTTTATGCTAAGTAACCTCACATTACCTTATGATACGACCGTTTGTACCCCAGATCCCCGCCCACATCTGGTCTTACGTTTCTCTACCGTCTTCCCCCGAACATAACGCATATGTGTTGTATCTGAGTTAAAAAAAAAAAACAGTTTTCGAAAAGTTTTTCTTCGAATACAAGGGCACTTCAAATATGACGCATATGCGTTATATTCGAATAATACACATATGCGTTCTATTCGAATAATACGCATATGCGTTCTATTCGAATAATACGCATATGCGTTCTATTCGAATAATACGTTATATTTGAATTTCACGAAGAGAAAATTGTTGTAACCTTTTTTTTCCCCCCCGAAGGTCAACGCCTGCTCCGTTCTTGCCCTGGTGAACGGGACAGGCCCGTGCAGGCCCGTAATCACAGATCATTGCCCGTGCTCTCTCTCTCTCTCTCTCTCTCTCTCTCTCTCTCTCTCTCTCTCTCTCTCTCTCTCTCTCTTTCTCTCTCTTTCTTTGTGCCCCCTATGCTCTTCTTCAAGCAAGAAACTGCCCTCCAGGTCACTAACATGCCTCCAGGGTTCTCTCTCTCTCTCTCCCTCTCTCTCTCTCTCTCTCTCTCTCTCTCTCTCTCTCTTCGTGCGCGAAGGCGCTTCTGACAGCCAAGAAAGTGGCGCTTCTGACAACCAAGAATGTGGCGTGGCCAAGAAAGTGGCGCGACCAAGAAAGTGGAAAAATAAGAAAGCCACTCACCAAGGTCTCGCTGCACTACCATGGTCACCGAGACAAAAAAGAAAGGGTTTGTATTTGTCCAGTGGAAGATTCATTCGCATTTTGCACATTTGCTGAGGAGTGGAGCAAGGGCCCAAGTAGGGGAAAGGAATGAAACTTGACCCAGAACATGGAAAGGTATGTCGCTACTTTACTTTTATCTTTTTGCCAAGGCTTTGAGGGCCCCAGCCGCAGTCTCTGCTCAGCCTGGACCCGACCCCCTTGTGCAGGCAAAGTTGGTCTCGTTCACTCGAATATAACGCATATGCGTTGCAAACGAATACAACGCACGTTATGCGTTGTATTCATTTACAACGCATATGCCTTATGTTCGGGGGAGACTTTTGACATAGGCTGGCAAGACCATTCCCAAAGCACCAAAGGAAAAGACCATCAGGGTGGAAAAGACGGAAGACATCAAAAACAAGAAAGAACTGGGCAAAGCAGCAAGGCAGGAGGGCAAACAGCACAGAAGCACACACAAGGACACAATGTGGCAAAGGAAAAGACGAGCAAGATGGAGAAGATAGTGAACAGTAACCAAGAAACAACCAGCAAGGCACAAGCAGGGAGGTAACACGTAGGCTGGAGGGCATGGGGGAGGCGGGAGGGCAAACAACTCACAAGGTACTAAGCGAAAGACATGAGGCAACTAGGCATAGGATGACAAACAGCAGCAAAGGACCAAGGCAGGAGGGCATGGGGGAGGTGGGAGGGCAGACGGCACAAGTATACAAAGCAGAAGACACACAAGCACCCCAAGCAGACCAAGCAGACAACACACAAGCATACCAATCAGACAACACACAAGCACACCAAATAGATGACACACAAGCACACCAAACATACCAAGCGGACGATACACAAGCATGCCAAACAGACAAGCAAGTGAAAAAATACAAGTCCCAAAAAAAAGTGAAGGACTGAAAAAAAATAAAGGGAAAATTTTCGGCATGCCCCTGAAGTTTGATTTAGTTGCGGCGTGACCGACTTACCCTGTCGCACCCCTCGAACAACGATTGAAGTTTCCGAAAAACCCTTGGCGTTGTTTGGGCCTGAATAATGTTCAATATGCCCCAACCGGTACCTGTTCCAAATTTTCGGTATGCCCCAGTAGCTCCCTTCCCAGGGCCAGGGGAGCGGCCGCGAGTGCCACCAACGGCCACAGGGGCATGCTGGAAAGTTGCAACCCTCATTGACAGGGGCCTGCAGGAAGTTAAGAGGTCCCAGGGGCACGGCAGGGTAAGTGGGCCATTGGAGGGGCACGACGCAGTTTAAGTCAGTAAGGGATGCCACCGACGCTGTAGAGCGTTTTATTTGTGTTCCAGGGGTACGCTATGACCCCCAGGTCCTGTTAACTTCGTACTTGAGGTGCTTATCTCAGCCTCTCAGGAACCAGTTGGCAAAAGAGGCCAACATCAATATGCACAACTTTCCTTCGTTCAGCAAGGTAGCCCTAGACCTTGAGGCAAAGATAGGGCATGGACAGACACCCACTACGGAAGGGAGAAAGAAGACACTGCCTCCTAACTGGAAAGCGAAAGGTCGCATCATGTTTGTCGACAACGATGGATCAACCA